GGTAGCCTTGCATCCTTATTTCCTCCCGTATGTTGGCACTTCTATTTTCAAGGCTGTCCAGTGAGTTGAATTCACAGTTGACTTCGATAAAAAATAATAGTTTCAGGTGGTTTTTTTGCATGTTAAGTTTTCAGCTGGATCAGCTGATCTGTCTGACCACGTACACACACAATCAGCAGTAGCAGTACTACAAGTGCACAGGCATTACTCTGAAACTGGCCAGAGCCAACTGGAATGACCTCTTTAGACAACAGCTCATGGCACCAACATAATTAAATTAGATGGCTGGCAAAGAATAACATGCATCTTGTGTTAAAAAAAAAAACAAAAAAAAACAAACAAACAAAAAAAAAAAAACACATGGAAAGAAAAGAAAATTCCATCAAATTACTTTTAAGCTTACATAAAAAGTACATAGAGGCAAGGACAGAATCTATATTCATTGAGTAGCAGTCCAATTATCTTTACACTTAAATTTTCTTTCTACAGTTCCTGCTTCATTCAAACAGTATGTATTCCAAATTTTGCAACAAATAAGGTGGGAGTTTTTCAGAAAAAAACCCAATTCATCACATGACTACAGGGGTTTTTTCCATACAGTGAATGAAGCTGAAATCCTTTGGGGAAAAAGCAGTATACAGCAGTTAATACAGTGTCTTAACAAATACAGACAAAGAGGGGAAATTACTTCAAATAATTTAAATAATTATAACTTTAATAATAACTTTAAATAATTGCATTTGAAAACAGAAAGGTATTTTCATACAGATTTGTGTATCTGACTACAGAGAGTTTAAAAGGGAAAATCCAAGCTCCAGAAATTTCATCACGTGAAACTACAGGAATGTCAAGTGGTAGGGTAAGAACACTTTGGGCTTGTTGCCATCTCAGTTACAGAAATTGATTTTTAAATAACTCATCATTTTCAACAATCTTTTACATCTTGTTACAGAAAATACATAAACATGCAGCTAAGAACCACAGAAGTGGCCCAAGTCCATTAAAATTGATAGACTTTCTATGGACCATAGATCAGGCCCCATGAATATAAAGTAACATTCTCAATATGTGGCAGTGCAGTTTTTCTTTTCCTTTTAAGTACTTCAACAGGCAAATAAGTCTTTTATATAGAAACATATATCTATATAATAATAGTACAGAAAACTAGATTAATTTGTTTCAATGACTTCGATAATTATGAGGAACAAATCTGTAGACAAAGAAGGAAAACAATGTCTGCCCTTTTTAATTGGTACTCTACTACATATAATCATTCCATTGCTTCTATTGATGTCACATACTCCACTTGTTGTGGTATCAAACAATCCCACGTACACTTTTAGAGAAAAAAAAACTTAGGGTGACTTACTGTCTTGTGAAATGGCAAAACATTTGTGATGCATAGACCAACTGCTCTTTTTTTGTATGTTTAACACAAACTGAAGATACCATGGTTTGTGTCACAATACAAGCACTTTCAGAAAGTACATTAAAACCCATGGATATAAATTAGAACATAAATTGAGGGTTCTCCCTTTTTATGAGGTAACAACAGTATCCTGTGGAGGTGTTTATTAGACCAAGTTAAGTGGAAGCATTATCAAGTTTTTTTTTCAATGAAAAAATGTCAAATAAGAGCTGAATTCCACAACAACAACAAAAAAATCCCATTAAATAGATTTAACAACTGAAAAACACTTCTCGAAGTACAGGCACCAAACTGAATAAAGTGGGATTAAAAGCACTAGACAATTCTAACCAACACTCCAATTGGTGGCCAGTGATACTCTAGTTTTAACATAGCTCCCAACATTAGCATCTACAATCAATAGATTGGAACTATATATGAGTGCTAGCAGATTTTTCATTAATTTTGTTGCAGAAAGCAGCATGGACCAGAGATTTTGTCGATGAAGAAAGGGGGTGATAAAGTAAAATGGCAGCTGCACATAAGGCCATAAAACCGAATCAAAATTTGCACATTGTGCATGAATTGACTCCGTATTAAGATCATACTCTAATTATCTATTCTCAAAATATAGTTGTTATTCTGTGGAGACTAATGAATGGTATTTTAACTCTGAACTTAGCTGTAAATCACACTATGCAATCACATTAAAGTAATAGGAGACATATAATAATATCGCATACTACCAGGTAAAACAAAGCACAAAAGCAATGGAACAAAGGTCCATTACTTACTGTCCTCCACCAACTGTGCCCAAGACTACCTACAAGGAAGGATGGTCATGTCCAGTCCTGTGCCAGGTGTTTTGCTCTCTCTCCCTGTCCTTACTTTCCCTCAATAGGTTACATGTCCTCTTCACTTTTCCCCCAGTTTGTCATTCCCAGCTGTTTGTTTTTCCCATAGTTTTTTTCTCTTTACTTTCTTCTCGGAAGGAAACTTTATTTATAAAACAGACAGACTGGAAACCAACTCCAGGCAAAAACCAGGAGCAGCTGCCTCATGCAGACACCATGGAAACATCTAAGAACAAAGCAAGCACACAGTAACTACTTCCTGAGAACATTCCTCCAGCATCCAACCATGTGCTACTCTCAGTCTCCTTAAGTCGAATGTAAATTTAAGTTTTTCCCACCTTTTATTTTTCTTATATATTTCATCCAGCTGCTTATTTGATTTATGCAAACTTCCACCACCTACATAATCTTACAATATAGATGTCCACAACTTAATTACAGATGGTCTGATGTTTATTTGATATAGTAAAACTGGAAAGGCAGTTTGATTGATGGAAAAAAGTATTTAATGGACTTTCTGCTAGGAACCTCTCCTTTTTTTTTTTTTTTCCTTCACTGGATTTTTGAATGTTTCATTCAAAACTTCTGCATTAAGTAATTTAGGCAAAGAGTGATTTATACTTTGCACACAGAACTTCTCATCTATGTTTTGCATTGAACCATGCAAAATGTTTCCCTGCAGCAGTTCATATCTGAGGACTGTTACCTCCCTATGGCAGCATGGTATCAGCGCCTCTTAGTTTCAGTGAACCCTCATGTTAGAAAGTAATTTGCTTTTTTTTTTAAATTGATTTTGGAATCTACAAAACCTTGACCCACTAGGAGAGACTACAAAATATATGCAATGTGTACCTAATACTAGAGGAGATGTTTGTAGTTTGGTCCATAAACTAATAACTTTCTATTGCAGTTCTAACCTATTGTTCTGTACAATGTAGACTGAAGTGTCATTTGATTTATTTAAAAAAAAAATCAACATGTACTAGTGGATAAGTAATATGAACAGAGATAGAAGTTATAGATAGCAGCATTAAGATATTTAAAAACATCTTCACTGGAAATTATGCTACAACAAAGACTGGAAAATGTTAAATGTTTGTTTTTTTATTTTTTTTTTTTTTTTAAAGAAGCACTATTGATTGTTTCCAAAGAAGTAGTAGTAATGGTAGTGAAAGACAATTTAATTATTTTCTTTTAAATCTATCTATAAAGAAAAGGCCATAATTATCAACTCTGGAAAGATAGGGGGAAATTACCTTTTCTATGTTTCAAGAAAATTGTATCATTACGGGCCTTTAAAGTGGATATCAGATTAAAGAACACCATCTTCCCTCCCAAACATACATATAACCGACTATGCTTTTTGACAGAGCTAAAGAAAATAAAGTATCTTTACATTAAATAATACTCCTCATTAAAAGAATGCTCTTTTTTTCAATTTCACCTATTATTTTTTGGTCTCAGCATGAGGAACAGAATCTGTAATTTGGCTTAGGTTCACTGCATTTCCTTTTACTGTGGAGTAATTAGTAAGTTGCAAACACTTATATTTAGGCCAGAGTATCAGAAACACCTGTTCCTAGGAGGGCTTCTGGTTCCAAACAAAACTCACCAAAATTCATGGGATATCAAAAGATAGAGGATTCTTCAAGCAGTATCCATCAGAAACCTTAATGACTGACCCTGCTGACATACCCATTCTACTTGCTCTTCATTGAAGTTCTAAATTTTGTACTCTTGCAATAAACAGTAAAGTTTCTAGCTAAGATACTGAAAAAAACCACCCTCAAAATGTGATCCTAAAGCTTTCAAGAGAGAAAGCAAGGGAACAGAATCTAAAATCTATAAAAATAAGAAATTCAGTTCTTAACCCATAGGTTTAAGTGCCTGAAACCTCAGGACTAGGACACCACTAACCTTGTGTGTAGCTCATGAATGCAATTAAATAAAGATCTATAGGGGTACTTATATTTCTTGGTCACCAGCACGGTCAATTCTCTTCACATCCGCGAGCCTTTTTATGCTGTTTTTAGGAGAGTATACCTGTCTTTGAAATTATAATAGCTACTAAAAACACCCAGCACAGAAACTAAGACTTGCAGTATACTTACTGATATTTAAATAGTGTTTAATAATATTGCTTGCCCTGAGTCTTAACAAACTTTGAAGGAAATCCAAACACAAACTAGGATGGTTTTCCCCTAAAATTCAGCAGGAGCCTTTACCCTGTGCATATAAAGGCTGCATGCCATGTCCGCATCCTCAGCTCTACTACTACAGCTCTTGTTTTCCATTTGAACAGCAAGAAACAGTCATTTCAGCGTGACATGCGAAAAGGGCCTTGCAAATTACACTTTTAAGGAGTTATACGGGAGAACGCGCAGCCCGCGGCCCAGCGCAGCCGCCCCTATACACGAGAGAGAGCCGGCACCTCGGCACCTCGGCCCCTCGGCCCGCTGCGGGCCGGGGCCGGAGGCGGGGCCGCCCGGCAGCTCTCCCGCCCTCGCAGGCACCATGGCGGCCGGCAGAAGCGATTTGCGGGGCACCAAACAGGGCGCACCACTAGGCATAAGGCTGCCGGCGCCCTGCTCTGCAGGAAATGCCGGGCGCTCACGGCGGCCGGGCCGGCCGGCAGGCAGCCGCGCACCCCGGCCCGCCGGAGCGGCTGCGCAGAGCCGGGCGGCGCGGGATGGCCGCTCGCACCGCCCCCTTGCACCGCCCCGGACGGGGCGCGGGGCGGAGCTGCGGGAAGCGGCAGTCGCGGCGGCTCGTGGCTGTCTAGGCGGTCGGCCGGTAGCGACGGGTGTCCGGGGTTGCCGGGGTTCTCCGCCCCGCCATCACTGCCCTTCTGCCTCTCGCCGCCCGGCGTGACCTGCGCCTCTCCTGCCGCCTCCGCGCAGCCCTGGCGGTGCAAGGCATGAAGCTGAGCAAAGCCCAGTACGATGAGATAGCCCAGTTCCTGGGGCACGTGCAGCCCACCCGGCAGAGTCTGAGGAAGCTGAAGGAGAAGTTTCCTAGGTAAGTGCATCCCGCCTTCCGGCGCGGGCCCCGGCGGCTCGGACCCCGGCGGCGGCCTGCGGCTCGCTGCGGCCGGGCGTGGGGCCGCGGGCCCGCTGTGCCGGCTCCACCCGGAGCCCCAGTTCAGGCCCCACACGGTACAAAATCACCAGCACACACACAGTCGTCGATGGCAAGCGACAGCTCGCTGAAGCTGCCGCTGGGAGCAGGATACTGCTCCACCCTCCGTGACCTGAGAAGTTGGCACAAAATAAAGAACACTTCCCCCGACACACGTCCAAGTGAAAGCTCTTGGGGCCCTTCACGAGCTTCTTAGAGACCAAGGAGGTCTTCTGATGTGAATAAAGCCTTACGGTGCAGGACCAGCCTCTGTGGCTGAAGGCAAATATGAAATGCATCCTGCAATGCCATTGCCCCTGTCTCTTAGGGATAAGGGACTTCATGAATCCATAATTCTCTGCTTGCTGCTGCATTCCAGTTGAAACTGGAAAAGGGATCATCTTTTTACCTATGGTCATTCATGTGCTTCTTTGCCTGAGCTGTGTTCAGAATTCTCAAAGGCATTTGCAAATGACCATGGCCTAGGATGGGAAGGTATCCATGACGGTATGTGCTCCATGCACCAGTCTTCATTGCTGAAATTTACTTCCTACCAACTACAACAGATGTTGCAATGTTTTCAGTTTACTTTCACGTTTGTGGGAAGGACTGCTGTTGCTGAATTGGACAGGAAAGCAAATTGGGTTCTGTGTGGAGAAGAGTGATGCTGTTTCTAAAATCACAAGAAATAATACAGAAAAATGTAGGGGGTTAGATATTGTATCTAGTTTGGTGAAAAAGAAATGAACAAAGCAGAAATCATTCACATGCTTCCTGAGTGAACCTTGCTAGTCTTAACCACAAGTGTAGTGGAAGAAACTGACACTGTGTGTAACTTACAGTAAGTGGATGAAGAGCCAACATTAACTTACGCTTTTAAACTGTCCAGTGAAATCCTTTCCTTTTCAGGAAGGTGTGAGAGAATTGTCCTGTTACAGAGAAGTAGTGTTAATAAAAGTTGGTTCAGGGAGTGCATTGAGTTACGTTTTGGAAACCCGGGTCACCTTGCACAGTACTTCTGCAACTTGGAAAAGCACTTACCATAACAACATGTGTTTCAGGAGCTTAGACCTTGCTTTATCACTTCAGTGCTAATGAAATTAGGAGAGAGTATTTGTGTGTGCATGCACACAAATACCCACAAATGTGTACGCATGTGAACATACACATGCACATGTTCGCTTTTTCTACTCTTCTTATAAAGTTGTCTTGAAAGAAGGTTAGAATTTGGGTTGGTTTTCCAGGTCAGTCACTATTTTTAGGAACCTGCTTCCAAGACAGATCCATAGGCACATGAGTGTTTGTTAATCAAATTTGTCCAAAAAAGACTGAGCTTTTCTGTTATATTTTACTTCCCGGTCCACTCACTTGGTGCTGCAAAAAATCCATTGAATCCTCTGTTTCAGAACTTGATGGCTCCTGAACAACTATGTGAAAATAACAGTATAGGGTTATTTAGGAAAATAATTCTGTGGGTTTTTTTAAAGGTCCTGGCTCAAGTGTGGTGAACACTGAGAAGCAAAGGTTCGTTGTAGTAGTTGCTTCCACAATTAAGTGGCTATACCCTTATGTTGTTATTCACATTGTGACATGAGAATGGTGTCTTCTGAATTTTGCTTGTAGTTCTCTCCTGAATTTTCTTTGCCCATGCTACAAAAAGGCTAAAACCTATGAGCAATGAATTTTAAAAAATGCCTGTCTTAAGTATATTTTGAGGAGCTCTGTACATCTTCTTTCTGGAAGTGTGATATTTCTTTGTTGTATCTTTGTTTATTTCTCATAACAGGTCAGATGCAGAACATAAACAATACATTCAAAGGCCACTGCTTTCCTTAGCAGTAAGGAGGGTGTGTTGAAATAGACACATGTTAGGATGTGGAAAACGGGCATTCTCTATAACCCTTATGTTGTAAAAGAGGCCAGCTGCAAGCTGCCGAGATTTGTAAACTTACATGCTGTCTTAAGGGGGAGGCTTTTTCAGTGATATGTTTGATAACTGTGGAGTAAGTAAGTTTTTATTATAATCTGGAAATTTTGTCATTCTCTTCTAGGACAAGAAGGGTCTTTAGGACTTTCTGGCTGGATTTTTTAATTTTTCTTTATGAAAGCCAGAATCAACTAAAGCCCCCCACCCATCTCAACTTTTTAAATAAAATTCAGTATTTTTAAAAAAATATTCCAGAATCTGTCATGGTACCTGCAGTGTGATAAAGGTGTCCATAGCCAGTTTCTCATTATTATATAGTAACAGTTGCTGATTCAAACTGGAAGGTAGTAACATCCATAATAGCAGCTTTCACCTTGCACTTTCAATCTTTCTCTGGGAAGGACTGGTATTCCACTGGTAATGTAATACATAAATTGACAGTTTTCAAATATTTTTGGTTCCTAGTGCCTCATAGATCTTGTGGGTCTTTGGATTTCTGCATTAATCTGCTCAGTTTTTTTCTAATACTGTCTTATCTCTTGGTTCTTCCCTCAGCTATTGTATTTCCTGAAGCCTCGAATGTTATGCTCCTAATTTAAAATCTCTTTCATGCTATGTGAAAGGGCCTACTCTTGTTCTGCAGTTTCTCCCTAGGAATAAGGTGTAATTTCTGTAAACAATTGCTACAATGTAATGAATGCACAGGTGTGGTGGGTGGTAGCTGCCACCCTGACCTGTGAATCTAAAAAAAATTATAATGGGGTAGTTTGTTCTTTACTATTATTGAACTACTTCATGAGGTGAGATTATTACTTCAAATGAGTATTGTCATGTGACTTATTAATGTCAAAAAGTCAAAATTAAACTGCTTCTCATACTGTTTATAAGTATTTTAATACAAGCATTGGGAATTCTTATATTTTACAGCCCTGTAACTTTCCATACAACATGGATTTAGTCTACTTTGCTTAAAATCCAGTTATTTGGCAGAAACTTGGATATCCAATTGCTGTTCTTTTTCTGTTAATGCTGTGCTTTGTATTTCATGCCTGGCAATTACCAATGTATTATTCATTTCTTTATTCTTAAGGTATTTGTTACATCCTCAGGAGTTGTCTCCTAACATGTTCCCATTTAACAGCAGGGTATTTGGATGACCTGAGGATTATCAAAATGTGATTTTGAGCACTAAGCACAATAAATCTCTGCCAATATTGGATCAGTGATCCGTAGTTCCTTTGATCTTTTTCACACATATGCCACTGGACTGATAATTCTGTATGTTCAATGCTGTGCTTTTCTGTTAAAGTGTATCACCTTTTCTGTTTAGTTTCTCACCTGAATTTTTCTATTTGCTAATTATTTGTGGTTTTCTTTATTATTTTTGTATTATATTCTTCAGCTTTCCCTTCAGCTATGGACTCATGTCCTTCTGAGATACTATTCTTCTCAATGAGAGCTAATGTCTAAATTGAATGAGCCATTTTAGGACTGGTTTTAGGCCGTTGCAGGAAATGTTCTGAGAAAGTTGAAATCCTTTTTTTCAGTGCATGTTTCTCTCTTAAATTGTAGTAAGAGCTGCCTACAAATAGAATCTTCTAGATACAAATCACCTTAGAACTACCTATTTATAGTGACAAGATGTTAGACCTTTAAAATTATTTTTTCAAAGACTTGTTCTGAAAAGTCCTACTTCTGAGAGTTAAATTCATACCCAAACTGATACTCTAGTACTTCAGTTTAACTGTTTACTGTTTTAGTTGTTTCAGTTCTTCTGTATATGGCAGAATACATTGTTTCTCTCAGGAACCTTTTCTAAAGCTTCTTATATGTAGAACATAACTGACTTACAAGTAGACCCTTCTCAAATATATACCTGGCACATATTTTCCTGTTTTCCTTTGTATCCAAGTCTGATTGAATATTGTAGTTTTCTTGACCAAATCTTTGTCTTGGTTTAAGACAATTTAAAGGGGAACACTCTTAAATGAGTTCTCCTTTGTTTTCACCAATCCCTTTCTATCAATAAGGAGAAACAAAATGCAAGTAAATGTAAGTGAAAAAATAACAGTTTACTAACAAGTGAGACTGCAAAAGGGAGAAACAATGGTAAATAACCACTAGATAGAAAATTGCTAAATCTCACAAACTCTGCCAGAACATAGAGAGACCCAAAATGGCAAAAATACCCTTTCCAAGATGGTGCCCGCCATGAGTGACCACTGTAGGGAGAGAAAGGGAAAATGGTGGCAGACCCTGCCCCCGAGATGGCACCTTCACGGCCTGGGAGACAAAGTGGAGGGATGGCAGCAAACCCTGGGGAAGGCAGGAGCTTACGTAGCGTTTCTAGCAGCACATGAGAAGTGCTGGCACCTGTGGGGTCAGCACCACTGCCCACCAGACTCTGATGATGTTGGTGCTGATGTCTCTGAGCTGTGGGTATGTTGTGGGGAAGAAACCAGTCTATCAGCCCTGGCATGAGGTGACTGGGCCCTAGCAACCAGCTGGCTTTGCAAAGTTCACTCCAAAACAGTTTTTGACTGTGAAATGCAGTTTTCCCCAATGGCTAATATTGCAAGCCCAGGAAAAAACTGCAAACAACCTCCAAAGTAACCCCTCCAAAGCAGAGCCTCCACTTTCAGCACATGCTGCCAGCAGTGAGTTTGTTCCCCATTTCCCAGCTCCAACTTAAAAAGGGACTGCAGCAATGCCCCCTCTGCCCTGCGGTCCCAGTTCTGGATGCACTGGATCTTAAAAAAGGCCATAACAATTTTTGGGCATGGATAGATATGGAATATAGTAACATCTTGGGTTACATGACAGTCTTTCCTTGGTCTCTGCCAAACTTTCTATGGATATAAGCTTTGGTGACCCCATTCCATTATGGTACTGCCTTGTTTGGTTTTTTTTTAATGTGAGGTTTTTTTCTGGCTTGGTTCTGTTCTGAGTGCTTGAGTTTCTTACACCAGCTTGT